AATTGATTTATTCTAGTTACCGTTGCTTTGCTTTGCATCGCATTGGAATTGTTGATTTTGTTGGGCGCCCCCACCCCTCCCTCACCCGTTACAAATTTGGACATCCCCACCACCCCTCGTCTGACGCCACGACGAGGTGATTGGACTAAAAATTAATATTCAAATCCAATCAAAGTTATTGTGATCCATTTCCTAATATTGTGGTCTAAAAGTATAATTTTGGGATGCCCGAAAATAGCAGCTGGTAACTATGGAGCCACTAACCTCCCCCTCAAGGGACAGAGACAGCACTAGCTGGGATATTGAATTCATGCCCGGATGTGAATTAATTATGAGATATGGCATTTGTTATACCCCATAATAGCAGTTGGCAATCAAAAACAGCAATTAATAAGGGCCGGCTTCATCTGCTGCGTCTTTTAATAAATTAAAAAATAACGTAACAAAAAGTAACGGAATTGAGAAAAAGTGATGCGTCCGGCCAAAGCCGGTGCTTCAGAACATGTTGGCACTGCAAATATTTTTGTATGTAATGTGCGCTTGGTGCAGTACTTGGTGGATATTATTATCAAGGAGGTATTTAATACCTCTTTTATCTGTGAATCTACGCATGACATTTATTTTGTTATGATGAAAAGTTTCATGTGTGCTTCAGGGGTGGCGCCAGGACCTGCCCGACGGAGGGGCTAAAGGCCCCGACGGGGGGGCTAGTGGAGTGAATCGAGTGTCACTTGGCTGGGGGCCAGGGGGCCGCCTATGGCCTCCAGTGGGGGTCCAGGGGGCGAAGCCCCTGGAAGCCACGGATATTTGATGAATTATGGCGAATTTTTATTACTTATTTGATAGGCATCGAGTTACTATAATATGACTTCATGTAGGCTATGCTTTCTAATGTTGACATCAGCTTCCAAAACCAAAACATTTTGAATAGGCCTAAAGCAAGGAACAAAGAGTATGCAATGTAACCATCTAATTTATTTTCAAATCCTCATTCTTGAAAGTGAAATTCTATATTTTGGAAATTTTGCATGAAATCTGTCAACCACGTTGCCATGGTCGAGGTTGCTTCACCTATCACGATGTATTCCAACCATCATGAGGCTATCTAAATGAGCATTTGTCATAACAGAACGCAAATTATTTTTAATTAGTCTCATTGAATTATTATTATTATTATTATTATTATTATTATTATTGTTATTGTGGTTGTTGTTGTGATGAAACGTTAACACGATATGGTGGCTAAACGAATATTACATCATGTAAATATTTTTTTTTATTTGTTTGTTCCCGACAAAATTTATTGTCTTCCCCGACGGGGGGGGGGGTTATAGCCCCCAGCCCCCTCTGGCGCCACCCCTGGTGTGCTTGTGAAAACGTTCATACACTGGTTTCATACAGCTGTTGCAGTTTTGATAATCCGCTGCACTGTTGATAGGCGTCGGCCATAACTACTATGAGTTTTCTAATGGTAGACACACACACACACACACACACACACACACACACACAATTATTATAGGGCTTATACGACCTGTTCATTTCGTTGAGTACGAATTTTCATTGAGTATTATTTTAGTAAAATATATTTCGTTGACAACGAAAATTAACGTAACCAGAATGCGTTAATTAGCGTTAAGTTATGCACTTGACCAAAAAATAAAATATATGGCCAATTGGTCAGTTTAGCAACATTTGCGTTAATATAATTTAGATTAAATTTCAGAAAATAAAAATTATAATTTACCCACGTTGAAGTCAAAAAATAATTGTAGGCCAACAGTGTACAAAAACTGGATAAAAACATTTTTTTTTAACGAAAAACCCATACTGCCACAAACCGAAGCAGCAGCCTTGATTACGCAGCGTGTATCGCGGTAACTATTCAGCCATTTTGTTTGTCGAGTATTTACCAGTTTTCTATTCGACTGGTCGTCTTCGTTAAAGAAAAATCATAAAAATATTTTTTGAAATTAACTTGCCCATTTTGAATTAACATAAAAGTTATCAACTTGAATATAGCAATTAGTGTATTTAAAAAATGTCTACCCATCAGTTTACAGCGAAAAATGACAGAAACACTTCCAGTCACTAGACTGGAAGTGTTTTATTACTTTTTTTAAATAATTTTTCTGGTTTAAAAATCAGTGTACACATTTATTACATTTCTATGATAAACAAGTTAATAATTTGTATGTTATTGCAAAATGATTTCAAAATTAATTTTTATTATTTTTTGACATTAGCAAGGGACAATACATTTTTAAGTAGGATTTTTGCCACTGCGCAGGTGGGCGTGGTTTAACGAAGAACGACCAGTCGAATACGGCCTTTGTCAAGTACAAAACACCAAAGTAACAACTTGGGTAGATCACGACAAACCCTTCATTTATTCCAACATCGTTCACATTACTTGTACATCGTATAATAACAAAACTCATAAGAGGCATCTTATTCAATAATACATAACGAAGTAAGTAAACACAATAACAGTTAAACTAAACTATGGGGTAAGAAACCAGATGAAAAACTCCAGCCTGGAGAAAATTGTCTGGAAGACCCCGAACAAAAATTCCTTCCTTGAATTGCCAACCTGGTAAATAAAGTAAAATAATAAAATACACAGTACAGCGTCGGTCAGATTTTTATACACTGCCTATCCACTCCCTTCCGCACCCGCGAAAAGGAGTTTACGTACTTATTGAAAAAATGATTTCGTTCTAATTCATCCAGTTCAACCAAACAAAATTTCATATAATATTAATAATAATAATAATAATAACAACAACAACAATAATAATAATAATAATAATAATAATAATAATAATAATAATAATAATAATAATAATAATAACATGAAAGCAGTTAATAAAAAAAAAACACCAATCGTTAGTAACTTCATACACAAATTGACTATAATAAGAAAAGAAAATTATTTACAAATTTCGTCCATAAATGATTACTATTATTAAAGTTAGTATAAAATATTCATTACCACCTTCATGAAAGTAGAGTATTTTTTAAAGGAAACCAACGAAAAATTAAAATAAATATCGTATCACCAGGCAATTGCTCATTTTCATATTTATATCTGACTAATGTATCGTATTTATGTCTCAGTTATAAAAAGTATAATAAAAACAAGCTTTAAAGTATTCATAACATAACAATCATAAAACTATTACGACATCTAAATATAAATTTTATAGCTTTAATATTATTAAAGGCAGTTATACTTAATTATATAAATTATAAGATAAATGTATCAACAATTAAAAGATATTGCACGACATTTTACCAATATCATTGATATTTGCTATCACCTAATAACGTAACGTAGACCAGGATGCTCAGTCCAGAGATTTAAATAACATAAGAGATAACTAATGTTGAGAGTTTTCGATTAAGACGGATTCACTTATCCTGCGTTCTCTGTATGTATGTACTCAGAGTTTAGGCAAACTGTGTCCTATACAGAAAATAACGTTAATCCAACGTCACCATGTGACGTCATTATGTACCGTATTGGTATTACCGTCGTCACACATGGTGTAGCTACTGGTATACACTGAACCATGGCCATTAAACATAAACTTTGTCCTCTGATCAGTTCTAACCGCTGGTCAGCTTTTGGTTCAATCGAACGACTGGTAAGTAATTGGTTTCAGATGTGCATCAGATAAGTACGTTGAGATGTTTGTTCATGTGCACGTTACAGAACACAGTGTATTCTTTGGAAAATTGTTTCCCAGTTTAACGCCAGAAGGACTTCATTGAAATAAGGTATTTTTGGAATTTCGTTGTATTTCACACCGAAGTATACATCCAATTATCTCCACAGTCATTCCATAATATGAAACAGTGCCAGAAAGAAAGTTCGTGCCATAATTACTATATATAATACAAGTATTATATTTCCATGGCCATATCATATCAATGCTGATACTACTGTTCAATTGTTTAACATTTGAAAACGCTATTATATTACATATTATGAGCAACAGTACTAATAAATAAAATACGCCATTTATGAAGTTTTAATTTTCAAATTTGTGTGTAATCGAACAAAATAGAAGCCCCATATGAAAGAAAACCCATCTCGAAAAGAAGCCTAATGGCTTTTAGTAATCAAGATAATATGGATTCTTTCGAGATAGTACTAACATTTAGACTGACGTTTTTTTTTGTTTTTTTTATGATTTTGATAACGTGTCGTATCAATAGTATTTTATTGTACTAGCAGGGTTAAAATATAAAAAAAAATTAAACATAATTTCGAATTCCATAGTTAAAAAATGTCGTATGGTAGCAATTAAAAAATGTACAGCATTCAAGCCCCCCCTTTTAGTTTGCAAAAGTAATCACAGAAAAAAGCCCATTTCGAAAAGAGGCCCATCTCGCAAGGAAGCCAGTCCTAAAAAAAGAAGCTCAGGGCTAGTATTCGAGGTTTCTGATACCTATATGGAAAATAAAGTTATAAAAATAAAATTATATAATCATAAATATATAACAAAATGTAACTATGAAACGTACGTGTTGCAAATATCAGCAAAGTGCTTAAATGTAAACCAGTGCTTAAACGTAATAAAAAGGGAGGTTCTAAAGTGTTTTGATTGGACATTATTTCTTCTTAGTTGTATACCACACACATGGTATAAACCCTTCAGATAAATGTGCCTATTAATAAAAATATGAAATATATGAAATATTGCTAAATTCAGATTGAGATGAAATCTATAGGAAATGAACTCGCAATGAAATCTACAGGAAATGAACTCGCAATAAAAAATTGGGGAAAGGGTACGTGTAAATTTTGCAAAAGGGGAGAAAAACATGTGCGGGTGAAAACGAAGTTTGTGATACTGGCCGGCACAATACGCATTTTTCCAATTAGTAGATTTCATTAATATTGAAGTTATGATATATATATATATATATATATATATATATATATATTTTAATGTATATATTATTGCTCATTTTCTTTAATACTACATTACCTCGAATAATATCAAGAGTCACTATTACTTTCATTTTTCAATTCGTCTATTTGTTATCCGGATTAAATGCATTCGACATCTTGTCTAGAAACACACGCCATTATACAAGTTGAAATTAGCCCAGCATTCTTAGAAGACGGTGTCCAATGGTTTGGTGAAGTCTGGGTGTCTTTTTGAAATAATTCTGAATTCTGAAAAATCTCCAAAAACTACTTTGCCCGTTAAACAATTCGGCTAAACTTTATTAACACCAATAAGGTTGTAAAAGAATGGGTTAGTGTATCTTATGTGTGTATATTAATTAATCTAAACCATTCTTCATCATTACCATCGAAAGGGTTCGCATTGACTAATACAGTTTTGCAAACTATCATGGAGCTATAATATTTACTATAGATCCATGTTAATTTGCTTTATGATATTTTGATATCACAACACACAACGTATATACTTACAGAGGAAAAGATATACATGTACATATATACACCAGTGAAGCTGTAAAAGAAGGGGTTAGAGTATCTTATGTATATTAACTGATCTAAACCATTCTTCATGATTATCATCGAAAGGGTTCGCGATTGACTGATACAGTTTTACAAACTATCATGGAGCTATAATATTTATTATAAGTCCATGTTAATTTGACATCAAAGTACATTACCATACGCTGTTCCAAGACTGGAACCGTCACTCAATTCTTTGCTAGAAGATGCAACTGAAAGTTAAAAGTAGAAAAATCCTATGGATTTGATTAATGATACCTTGATATCACAACTCACAATAGATATACTTGTAAACATATACATATACACCAGTGATGCTGTAACAGAAGGGGTTAGAGTGTCTTATGTGTGTATATTAACTGATGTAAACCATTCTTTATAATTATTATCATCGAAAGGGTTCGCTATTGACTGATAGGCCTACAGTTTTACGAACTATCATGGAGCTATAATATTTACTATAGGTCCATGGCAATTTGACATCAAGGCACATTACCATAAGTTGTTCCCAGACTGGATACTCCGTCACTCCATTCTTTGCTGGAAGATGCAACTGAAAGTTAAAAACAGAAAATTCTTTGGATTTCATTTATGATATTTTGATATTATCATAACACACAACAGATTATTTGCAGAAGAAAAGTATATACATATACAAATATACACTGATACTGTAAAAGAATGGGTTAGAGTATCTTATGTGTGTATATTAATTGATCTAAACCATTTTGCATCATTACCATCGAAAGGGTTCGCGATTGACTGATACGATACGGTACGCGATTAACAAACTATCACGTAGCTATGATATTTACTACAGGTCCACGTTAATTTGACATCAAGGTACATTACCATAAGTTGTTCCCAGACTGGATGCCCCGTCACTCAATTCGTTGCTGGAAGATTGAACTGAAAGTTGAAAGAAGAAAATTCTTAGGATGTGATTTATTATATTTTGATATTATTAACTGATGTAAACCATTCTTTATAATTATTATCATCGAAAGGGTTCGCTATTGACTGATAGGCCTACAGTTTTACGAACTATCATGGAGCTATAATATTTACTATAGGTCCATGGCAATTTGACATCAAGGCACATTACCATAAGTTGTGCCCAGACTGGATACTCCGTCACTCCATTCTTTGCTGGAAGATGCAACTGAAAGTTAAAAGCAGAAAAATCTTTGGATTTCATTTATGATATTTTGATATTATCATAACACACAACAGATATACTTGCAGAGAAAAACTTATATACATATACATATATATATATATATACACACACACACACACACACACACACACACACACACCCACATATATATATATATATGTTATATATATATATATATATTTCTTATTTATTTATTCACACAAATCGGTGCAAATAGCTTGCGCTAATCGAAATTTGACTCCAAATCTCACAATCAGAGCATAATATTTTTTAAAAATATCAAACATAACAGATTTAAGCATTAATTCTTAATTAAAAATAAAAATTGCGAAGCAATAAACTATAAATAGGCAGACATCATAAATATTTTTGTAGTAATAAAGATTTCAAATCGTGTAAAAATATTGATCTCGAAGAGGTGCATTTTAAATTAAAAAACAAATTATTCAAGAGTTGTGGACCACAAAAAGAAATGCTAAATTTTCCAGCATCTGTACGAGCTTTTGGAATGGCAAAATTAAATCGGTTACTAAATCTAGTGGTTGTGTCATGGGTAACATAATTAAAGTATTCATTAGTTCCATGCGGAAGTTTTCCGTTAACTAAATCAAAACAAAAGTAAAAATGCTCAATTAAAATAGTTTGTAAATATCTAAGATACCAAGTTGTATAAATATGGGAGAAGACGGTGCTTTAAAGTCAGAAAAAGTATTACATCTAAGGCATTATAACTTTTGAACAAGAAAAATTGGATGTAAATGGGATTTATAAGTGCTGCCCCAAAATTCTAAACCATAAATGATACTTGACTGAATAAATGTTTTATAAAGTAAAAGTAAAACGTTACATGGTACAACATGTCTTAAGCTAAACAGAATTCCAGATTTTTTCCTTAATCTATCTTTGACATAGTTTATATGATTGTTCCAAGTAAGTTGTTTGTCAAGTTTTACACCCACATATGATACTTCATCTACTTCATTGATTAAAGAATTTTTATAATAAATATTATTGAAGCTCAAAATACTTTTGCCTCTGTTACAAAAAATAATATAATTGGTTTTTTGAATATTAACGGTTAATTTATTGGCATCACACCATTCGGATATTTAAAAAAAATAATAATTAACTATAGATAGGTCAATGTTATTTTCTGAAAATTTGTGAAAAAGGTGTGTATCATCTGCAAATAATCGAAACTCAAAAAAATCAGTAGCATTTGGGAGGTCATTTATATAAATAAAAAAAGGTTCGGGCTAAAAAAAACGTTACATGGTACAACATGTCTTAAGCTAAACAGAATTCCAGATTTTTTCCTTAATCTATCTTTGACATAGTTTATATGATTGTTCCAAGTAAGTTGTTTGTCAAGTTTTACACCCACATATGATACTTCATCTACTTCATTGATTAAAGAATTTTTATAATAAATATTATTGAAGCTCAAAATACTTTTGCCTCTGTTACAAAAAATAATATAATTGGTTTTGAATATTAACGGTTAATTTATTGGCATCACACCATTCGGATATTTAAAAAAAATAATAATTAACTATAGATAGGTCAATGTTATTTTCTGAAAATTTGTGAAAAAGGTGTGTATCATCTGCAAATAATCGAAACTCAAAAAAATCAGTAGCATTTGGGAGGTCATCTATATAAATAAAAAAAGGTTCGGGCTAAAAACCGATCCCTGTGGTACCCCACATTGAATCGGTAATTGATCCGAACTTTAAACACTTTAAAAAACACAAATTGAAATCTACTTTTTAAATAATCCGTAAACCAAAGTAACGGTTGAACTCTAATACCATATATATATATACACAATATATATATATATATATATATATATATACATTGTTCGAATAAAGGACATAATAATACATCGTGTAGCATAGCTCTTAACGAATGTAGTCCTGTAAATAAATGAATAAAGAAATTGTGTAATAAAATGTCTCTGGCGGGACTCGAACCTGCGACCTCTCGCTGTCAAGGCGAGCGTCATAACCATTAGACCACGGAGGCCTTATGGTTGAACGGATTCAAATACCGCCAGATACACTCCATTACACAATAGGTACGGCAGAAACAAATAGTTGCATATAATATAAATCAAGATAGCCGTTAACTGTTTACCGTTTTCTACCAATTAGTGGAATGGTTAAGTAATTTTTATAACATTTTGAATTCTGTATAGAGTACCACAGTCGTGTCGTCACAACACCAGGTGGCGAACTCTGGACGTTGGTTACCGTTTATTACGCCTGAATGACTTCATAATATTAATGGTTTAGAATAGGCTTTCTAGAATATGCATTTAAAAAAAACCAAATAACTTACCATCAAAATGTACTAAAAACACAAAAAGCCCACATTGAATTAATTATCAAACACACATTTAATCATCAATTAAAATTTACAAGGAAAAAATTAAGATACAACTTCTTAATAATTACGTCAGAAATTGGGATCAATGGTTTTTGTCAGTGGAGAAATGGCGTCGGTTAAACGCATTTTGTGTCGCCGATAGCAACGGAGTAGTATTGCGTGGTATCGTGACGTAACACTGTAAGTACCTGTACTCTATATGTTTGATCATGGACCTATTGTTTGATCATCAAATATTTATGTCGAAGTCTTGGTATGAATAGATAGTAGGCCTAAAGATATATGCCATAATATGTATATAATGACTTCATAATTGTAGATTTTTTGTCAATTTTAGCCATGGAAACGTGAATAATTGTACGGTGCACATAATTATGATCATAATTTGGTTCGTATTTAGCACAGAAGTATCAATAAAATCCAACTTATTACTTGTATTTTAACACTACCAAAATATCAATTAAGGAAATTTTTTTTTTTATGCACACTTATCGCGGCCTAATACACTACAATGTTTGAATACCAATTATCTTTTTTTCTGGTTTGTCCTCTGCTTTTCTATTTTCAATTTCGCGTGATACCTTCCATTCAGTGCCAGGGTAGTTTCTCTTTGTAATGTTGTCAACTTTGTTGACTTTGTAGAACATACTATCTATTTGGTTTGTTTTATTGTTAATATAGTGATTTTAGTATAACTGCGATGCCACTATAAATAATAGCAAATTCATATAGGCCTATATATAATATATATATATATATATATATATATATATATATATATATATATACAAAATGAAGCTTA